GTGTATCATACAGCTGAACATATAGTGACAAGTATTCAGAGTAATTGTGCAGCAACGCAAAAGTAATTTAGTATTTGTAATCTGTTAGGATTATTATCAACTGACCATTTATATGTACTCCGCAGTCACACAATTCCTTCTCTTTAAAGTCCTGAGTGATGGAATCTTGCTGCTTTAAATATTCTGTTAAAACCAGCATATTTCCTTATTGATCTACATACTCTTTCTAAATTGACTCTATACAATCTAAAGTACCACACTACTTATCCATCCAAACCTCGATGAAAACCTTTACATAATGTATAATTAGTTCACATATTAATCTTACAAATTGTCTCTGACCATTATTTATTCACTTATTCAGTCTCCATCTGTCCTTATTTTGGTGAATGAGCAAATAAAAAGATTAGAACATGTCTACGTGCCTCATTTCTAAAAAGGTATAGGACCTAGATATGTTTAATTATCCCAATGCCTGCTCTTAGTTTAGCAAGAGTTTATAGCTAAGTAACCAAAGGAAATTCTTCTGTAACACACGCCAGTAAAAATAATGCAGTTTTTACATTGTGTTCTGTCTGAACACACATGTGATTACAAAAAGAAACGTAAATCACCGAGACTAAGCTCTGCAAAAAACACCTGAGGGATGCAGCTGCCTGGCTTGCATTTGTTTTAATGGAGCATGCATTGCTCCAGGACACCTTCCAAAAATTCAGTTTACACAATATTCCTCTCAGTGTTAAACTACATCTACACTCAACAGGCTGGGTGCTGCCATCAGCAGCAACTAACCGTTATGTGAAATGCAGAAACTTTACGGCCTAACTTAAATAACTGCCAGTTATTTAAGCTGTTGATGCCTAACTTCCTAATCCTTGACCTGACTGCAACTAATTCAGAAGCTCTTGTGTACTTCAGTAGTGAATGATTTGGGAGAAATCCTGACTGAGCACAGCTGGAAAGCCTCGTACCATTTTGGGTGAAGTGCCTCTTACCAATTTCATCCAGCAGCTCTTGGGCTGGTGGAGGCAGCTCATCAATGAAGTAGTTAGATGCCTGTGAGAGTGCTGAGATAGAAAAAAAAATCTAGTTAATTAGCAGTGATTAATCCTTAATAACTGTGATACAGGCTTACATTATGGCAGCATCTTGCTGACAAATTTCATTTATCAACCTGCACGAGCCTGGCTCATTCACATTTTATCAAATAGCCTTAAATAATTTCATGATGGAAAGATCATTTAGAACTAGACTTGCACATTCAGTTCTCAATCCTGCATTGCAAATTTTAGGCCAGTAATATTTACACTTCAAGCATAGGTTGATTAGAGGTCAGAGTTCTTAGTCTGCAGGTGTAAACACAAAATCCATTACCTAATTACCACTAGCAACACACAGTTGTGTGCAAAGCTGTTTATCCCTGTAAAAATAGATGCCCAGCAGAAAAAAAAAAAGAAAGGAAAAAGAAAGGCAAAGTAAACTGCAAAGTTTCTTTTCAAATCTGCTTCCCCGTTTATTGATCATTCTATTTGGGCTGGGTTAAGAGACTTACCAGATGCCTTCCTGGTGCTTCTCAAGGATGCAGCAACTACTGGCAACGCATCCTGTGTAAGGTCATATGGAATGAAACACAAGAAGGTAAATTGAACAACTCCTGGTCTTCCATCCTCCTCTTCAACATACTAAATCCAAAATCAGGTAAGGCTTTAATTAAAGCTTCAGTTGACCACTACACATTTTTGAATAAGCTCTTCAGACAGTTCACAACATTGAAACAGAGGTAACATCCAGGTGAGCCAGACGCGCCAAAAATTTTGCTTGGGCTGCTGTGCACTCATCTTTTAGCCGGCCATAAGATACTGTCAGCTACATTATCTCTAACCATTTCATCACTCTGTATGGACAACTGGATGGGAATTCTCTGAAAGGACAGCTCCAACATTTCTTAAGTTCCCATTCTCTGTTTTGAATCTTTAGTTATTAAAGCCAGGCACACGCATTTACCAGAAGAGCCTCCAAAATCAAGAATTTATAATCACAGGCAAGTCTTCACTGTCCTCAAAATGGAAACAGATGCTTCATGCACTTAATGCTAGAATACAGTTTTAGACAAGAAAACGACACAATCAAGTATCTCCAGAGAGCCAGTCAAGACAGCACAGCTCTGTTAATGGGCTTAATGAATTCCAACTGTCTGCTACGCCAGCAGAAAGACACAGACCTGACGACAATGAACACACTCGCTACTGTTCTGGTTGAACAAGCCCTAATCGTTAAATGCCAACCCCACCAATGAATAACAGTAAGAAAGGGATAAAGGTAACTATTTTATATATAATGGTCTGAAAAGACAGTTAAAACAATGCTGTGACTCCAGAACACTTTCAATTCCCAAAAGATTACTGGAAATCATTGACCTTGGAAATTGTCAGCTCCAAAGAGAGAGGATTTTTTGATGCGACAACATCGATAACATTATGCCATGTCTGTGCATAAAAAGGACAAATTTAATCCCCCAATACAAGGGCTTTCTGAACGTCTACTTGCTTCCAAACTACTAGATCAAGGCTTCCACCTTAGTTTTCTTCCTCAAGGAATCACTCATTTACCTTCCCCCACTAAGTTTTGAGAATTCTTCAGTTTCACATGAAAACTCACATACTTGAACACACACGAACTTGTATTTAATTTTCATTCAAGTTTATTCCCTACTTTCACCCAGTCAAAAGCCCACAGTTCACAAATGACTTGGGAATTCAGAGTGGTTCGGATAAGCAACCTGCTGTTAACTCACCAGAAAACCAACTCATCAAGCCCTCTCTGACAACGAAAACCTTTCCTACCCATCATTTTGCTGATACTTACCACTTTGGCATTGCAAAATTACTGGATCCAATGCTGGGAAATGGCAATTCTTTACAGCCAGGGAAGGGATGGAAGGCAGGCAAGGCCATTTTGATGGTGATTAGGTGCAAGGGGAAGCCAGCTCTTTTCATAATCAGTGGCACACACAGACTGCTTTGAAATCTATCAGAACTTTTCTCATTACGTCAACAGATCCAGAATTCTAAATACTCACAAAGACCTAGAAGTATTTCTATGCTTTTCAACTTGCATTTATTTTAAGGAAAGTATTTTGAAAAATATTTTAAAGAATGGCTGGCAAAACATAAATTTTCTAGACTTACAGGCTCATTCAATTCGGATGGGCAAACTCCTGAAGCAACAGCGGGAATTTCAGTGTTCTCTCCCTCTTCATAGGCTGTAGTGAATGTCCTGCACACGGCAGAGATCTCTTGAGAACCACAAAAGGAAGAATCTGAAACATGGCAGTGTTTGTATTTGTTAAAGGCTGCTGGAGTTTTTTTATCTAGAACTAAAAAAAAAAAAAAAGAAAGAAAAAGACAATAGCAAAGCTGGAAAATGATTTTTGGATTTTTTTGTACATTGGTCACATTCCTACAGGAACAGAAAAAGGTTTCTTGTGTTTGAAAAGGCATCTGCACAGGAAACTCTTTAAGAAATTATTGTCCGTAAGTGATCTCTAAGCAGAACTCCAAACTGATAACCTAGGAGTTCCATCTCAGACATCATTTATGCAAAAATTTGCCAACTGAGAAATTTCAACTACTGTATTACATCTAATTAATGAAAGTACAAAGCAAATGATAATTTGGTGCTCTTAATCAACACTGAAGTTCAGCAAACATTGACATCACTTTATCAACACTCAAACACACCAAGTGCTTATTAATCATGTCTTTAAAATGCTAAAATCCACACATATCACTACTAATCTATGTTAAATGTCTAAAACTATTTCTGATTTATGAAGGCTACCGTTAACTACCAAGTCTTTATCTTTCAGAGACCTTTCAGATACGAGCTTTTTCAGCTGGGCTCCCATAAATTATCCTTTAGTTCTATGTTAAAGAGATTTTTTTGGCCAAGCAGGCTCTAGCTACAATGTTGTCACTATCCAGACCAAAACAATGAGATTTCAAACAACAGGTACAGCATCTCTTGTGGTTACTTATTCCAAGCCTGACATTTCTGCACTGGTGCTGCATGAACGGAGTTTCCATGATTCACATCAATGATTTTTATGTTAGCAAGTCTTGGCAGAAGGTGGAACTCCTGAGATAAAAAGGTGAAGTAATTCACTGGTCCTCCCTTCTTTCCCCTCTGCAGTTACCTGAGCTGAGTGGAGTGCTGACGCTGGTTGGTGCACGCCTCACTCTGGGTGTTTTACAGTCGACACCCCTGTGGTAGTTCTCTTGTTCATAGCAGATACTCGACAAATCCTGAATATCTGTCACTGATCTGAAGCATTGAAAGATGTTCTGACAGTTAGAATAGCCACTTCTTACACTTGTGAATCACGAAATTCTACTATTTTCAGGTTCTTGAAATTTTAATTTTGTTCAGTCTTATCTAGTTTTCCAGAAGGAAGAGAGACATTCCCTTTGAAAACTTCCCACAGAATCTTGGAAAGCTAAAGATCACCATCTCCAATAATGTTGCAGAGACAGAAAAGGTTAATTATTTGCTTTCCCCTCCTTTACATGTTTTCTTAATTTTACTAATTCTCCTCTAAAAGCAAGCTCAGGAAACTGCCTCTAGAAAGGGCAAGAACTTCAAATGCGAACCACTAGGTAGAAAACTCCAAAGCCAAGGGAAGACCTCAGGTTTAACAAAAATTAATGATCCATTAATTAAGACTAAATGCAGGTCTTAGGAGCCTTCAGAAAAATTACTCAGATAAACTGCAACTGCTGAAGATTTGCACAGGCGGTGATGTCTGCTCAAGCTATGAAAATTCTTAAGTGGCTGCAGGACTTTACATTGTCCTCAGAAGACTATGAAATGAACAGATGTCTACTATTACCAAATCAGTAATTTCTATGCAAATCTCCATTATCTGGAAAAAAAACCCTAACTTCACTATTTAAGTCGCAAACCTGTTCTGCAAATGTTTCCCAAGAATCTCAATCACAAGACTATTTTTGTAATAAAATTTATTTAGCTACATACTAATGATTTGCTCTTTAATTTTATTTCTTCTGCGTGATATGGACAGAAGAAATAAAGAATCCTAACACTTCAACGTTAGATTAACACTAAATTAATTACTTATGAATAGGAAAATATTTCAAACTAAGGACAGCTGTATATGATAGCTCTTTTATACCAATTTTCCAACTTATTATGAGAAAATATTCTTTCAATCCTTCAGATAGGTTCCTCTCTCTCAGCTTTGGTCTAGCTCATCTTCCTGTTTTGCATCAACACAAAACTGTTACAATGAAAATGACCAACTTGCTGAAGTTTTGATATAAAATGGTTTATGGCTCTTACACATCTTTTTCTTTGCATTCTTCCTGTGGCTCCCACTGTATCTCTTCTCGTGCTACTTCAACACTGGAATGAGGGAAAAAAGGTCATATTCACTGATCCTCTCAGAGAATTATGAAAATAAATATACTTAGTTGCCTGCCTTTCAAAAGGTTTGAAGGACTATCTACTCTCTGAGGCAGACTGCAGCTCATAAAAACTTTTGGCTTAAAACCTTGGAAGGTGGAGAGTGCTAGGAGAGAAATGCCATTTTAAGCACATTATGGATTTGCGAGAAAACTTCTAATTGACACATACTGTTTCAAAACAAAACTGAAAGTTAAGTAAAAATCTATGAATATTTATCACTACATTGTTTTATCATCCTCTGATTGGCCTGCATTGTAAACTCTTTTCTCAAACTGTAACAACCCCATTCGAGGTCACAGAAGCATTCAAAGGGGATTAGTCACATAGTCAGAGAACAAGTCCTCTCTGTCCTGTTGGCAAAAGCTCGATTCCTAAGTGAAGGGAGCAACCAAAGCCATTATCTTTCCCCTTAAGGCCGAGTATTTACACACTTGCTGCCCAGCTTGGACACTGGTAACTGTTCCTCCAGGGGAGGGGACAGTAAAAGCAGCTCTCACTCCCTCACTTGGATAAAGCCAGCAGCTGCCAGCTCCGGAGGAACACAAGGAAAGTTGAGCTACAGAGAGGGCAGGGGCTTTTAAGCAGCCTGAAAACCAGTGCTTAAAACGCTTCAGGCTGAGGACTGTTTGTCTTTAAGCGGAAATACCCCTTGCAGCATGAGGCGCTGATTCTGGCCAACATCTCTGCACACTAGTAGAATATAAAATTTACAAAAATACTGGATATAAACATCTCATGTTTGAGAGATGAGACTGCAAGTCTCCAAGCATGGGCTAATACTATCTGCAGGCAAGAAACAGTGCACGTACTCGCATCGGACTGTTCCCAGAGGAGGGGAAAAGGTATGCTCTTCATGCCACTTGAGCTCCAAAACCAAAGCACAACAAAATTAAAACAGATGACTGAAGCCTTAATTTAAATTATCTTTGCTCTGTTTAAGACTGTAGCTTATCAGTGTAAAAGGAATTGCAATATATACATGACTTATTTTTCCTATTTCAGCTCCCTCATTAAGCGGAAAAAAAAACCACCCACAAAACTGAACACTGTAAAAGACAAAACCCCATGAGACTTGTTGAAGCCCTTTTAGCATTTTCTTGGCAAAGAACTATGATATGTAGATAATCATTAAAAACCACCGCTGGCATCTTATTTGAATATTAGCTATATAAGCAAAATTAATAGAGAGTACACTTTATAACCTAATTTATGCTTGAAGTAATGATGAAAATAAGTCTGTCTACCTGGCGACAGGCACACGGCTCAGCTGATTCACTCCTAGCGCGCTACTGCCGGAGTTCTGCACTGCTGTGCTGCAGAATGGCATTTTTCTTCCTGAATACAAACAAAAATGTTCCCTGTTACTGGGTTTTCCAAGTACAAAAGAAAGCGACACAACTCATTGAGCAGGAAATTGCAACTTTATTAAATTTTTTAGTTCTTGTGACCTTTGTTGTTGTCAAGAGACAAATGTGTTTTAAAGATGCATTTTCATAAACATACCACAGCTGCCAGACAGTCAACCACTGAAGCACTGGGGAATATCACAACATTTACAAATTTGAGCTAAGAGAGGCAACAGACTAGAGACACAGCAACAATCCTTCCATTATTCCGCGCACACACACAATGTCAGCTCTTACAGTTCATAAGCTTGAGATTCTTCTAGCAACAAGAATATTAATGTGTAAATACAACTCTAATTCAGTTTCCAGCACCATAGCAAGTCGCACAAAAAGATTCAACTTAGCCCTAGGGTAAAAACAAAACAGTTGCCAACAAGCTTTGTTTTGTTTTTTAACTGAAACACACTAAGTACATAATCATCACACTCAACAACATTTCAGTGATTGCAATACCCAAACCTCATCTTCCAAAAATCCTGAGTGTCCTGAACTCTCACTAAAATAATAAGGAATAAGGGACCAAGTGACACTGAAGAATCCATCTTCAGCCTTCTGATGGGAGCGCTCCTGACAAAATGTAAGTGCAACAAGACTCTCTCTCCCTGACTCAAAAGCACCTTCAAAACAAAGAGCACATTTACCTGAAACCTGAATAGCTGATCCTGCTTCTTCAGGTACCTGTTTCTGTAAAAATCCTTCACGAGCATCTTCAGATTCATCCTCAGCATCTAAGGCCTGAAGAGAAGGACAAAAGGAAGCGAAACGATTTCTCACAGGCAAGCTGTGAGGGCAGGACAACTCTCACAGGACGATGTTTGCAATAATCAGACGGGGAGACAAGCTTTTCAAGAGCTTATCCAACAGCATGGATTGGATTCAATAGTCCATACAATAGTTTCAAATCTTCAAGAAATTAGTGAAGATTGGTTTAAGACTATTTAGTACTGTAATTGATAGAGCTGTGAAGGAAAGGCTGAGATCATTAACTGCCTAAAACTTCTCTCAGCCACAGATTATGTAATTTCTTTGTAAACAAATTAAGAAAACATGCTCCTGCTGTTTTGGTAGTCTGGGTGTTTGTGGGGGTTTAGTTGTTCTGGGATTTTTTGGTTTGGTTTGGTTTTCGGGCAGGGGTCTGTGTTTTAAAGGAACTGGGTTAAAATTTTCTTCCTTTTAGATAAATCTTTATTTGTAGATATTCTTTCAAAAGAAAAGAATACAAACTTGTCGCTCTCCCATTTTGTACAGCTCTTCTTCAAATCAAATGGGAGCATACGAAAACCACACATTGTGTAACTTACATACAAAGTTCTTGATGCAGACTTTATTCTTGACTTTTCTGCTATTTTTACCTCTAGTTCTGACCTTCTCTGAGCATGAGCAGTCAAGAATTCTTCAGACACATCAGAAGATGAATCAAGGGAATGACATAATTCCCTTGAATGTCCCTGTGAAAGACATCATCATTTGAAGCACCTTCTCCGCTCTCTGTTAAAGAACGTACATTTTAGTCAATAATGGTAAACAATAATGCATCTAACTGAAATTATATTTAATTTGAGTTTGAGCCTACCTCCTGCTGCTTACATTGCCTTGATGGTTAATAAAAAAAAACAAAAAGCAGAGGGGGACCGTCAGTCAGATCGTAACTGAAAAGAGCAGCTGTCTTGGTAGTTCAGTGTGCAACATGGAGAGACCAGGCTAAACTGTTTAAAAGATAAGTAGCTGCAGCTAGATTTCTTGGATTATTATACATACTCTAGAGAGATTCTCAACTTGTTGAGGAAGGCCTGAATTCTTATGAATGGCTAAAAGAAAAAGCAGAGGGGGACCGTCAGTCAGATTGTAACTGAAAAGAGCAGCTGTCTTGGTAGTTCAGTGTGCAACATGGAGAGACCAGGCTAAACTGTTTAAAAGATAAGTAGCTGCAGCTAGATTTCTTGGATTATTATACATACTCTAGAGAGATTCTCAACTTGTTGAGGAAGGCCTGAATTCTTATGAATGGCTATTCCAGACTCTGATTGTTCACCTTGTGACAGCGACTGGCAACTTCTCCCTAGGATGTCACAATGGAACAAAATTATTAGACAAAAAATAATATGAAGTGAGTTAACTGAACCACTGATGGAATATCAATGACAGCAGACAGTAAAACTACATTGTCTGTCAGGAACATGGAGAAATAATGACGCTCAAACACTCACATCATTAATCTAGGCACGTGAAGCTCTCCTTGTTCCTTTATCCATAACTATTACAAAAGCACTACCCACTATGCTGTTACAGAAAAAGTATTTCTGTAGTCCAATTGAGAGAAATGAAGTGTGAAAAACTCGTGGATTTGAAAGCTTTGGGTGTCCCATGCTGACACACGGTCATCAATGATGATGAAGGGTCTCCAAGCTCACTGGACATTACCTCCACCTAATAACACGTAATACTCATCTCAGTCTATTATTTATGTTTACTAATGACTGAGTGATTGACCTGCTTTGGGGGCAACACTCTGGAAGATAAAATTGACAATTATTGTAACAAGATCACAGAAAGTGACATCTGCTAGGAGATGGAGAGACAGGATGACAAGAAATTGCTTTTTAGTTTTCAGCCTTACCTCCAGAACTTATGCATGCAGGCTCCAGATCACTCTCCTCAGATTCAGATCTATCCTCACTGTCCAGACTCCAAAGCTCAATATTACCACCTGTCTGCCACTTGTATCTTTGTTGGTCTTGACTCTTTTGGGCTCTAACAGTGACATGTGGAAAGGCTTCCATTTTACCCTCTGCTTCACTTTCGGATGTACATTCACCAGCTGGATACGCACAGCCAAGTTCTAGTTGTCCTGAGGCCACTCTTCTGGCCATTTGCTTTACTTCAGCTACACAAAAAGAACAAAAATATCAGTTCACACAACAGAATCTGGACCTTCAAAGGACTCCCTGTGTTCCATTGTGTCTGCAGACTTGGAAATGCCAAAGTTATAGCCTGTAAGCTCCTTTATCATGAAAAGAGCTAAACACTTCCTTCTCCTTGAAGGCCAGCTTAAAAGTTGCATAAATTGATACAGACAAGTCTACATGAACAATTTTTGTTAGTTTGTATTCTCTGTTCTTCATGCCTGTGCTGCCATCCACCGGTCATTGCTATACTAGTATTTCTAAATTCATATGCTGTCCCTCCCTTACATCCTCCAAAACAGGGCTAGAAATTCTTTTGAGCTTTATAATCAAATCATCTTAATGTGGCTGTGATTATTCCATGCCCTGAATGTGCAAGACACAGGATCCTACTCATTTGGTTTTCATCCAAGAACAGCCTAACAGAGCTCCAGCAATTAAGGCACACAGACCTTTCTTAAGTAACAAAATGTGTTAAGTTTTAATGCACTGCACTGCAGTAAGACCTGCAAACATTAATGCCAAGTTAACGCTGATTTACTTACTCCTCCATTCTGATTGCATCATCCTTCTCTCCTTGTTTATTTTTATACTGGAAATTTCAGATCTTGATTTTGCATAGCACCTGTAATAAATTGTTATGAGATGCATCAAACTCTGATAACACACAAGCGTATTGTGTTAGGTACTCCCCAGTCAGTAAAAGACTAAACGTTGGTTTAATGTTAATTAAAAGGCTGAGAGCACACATGCTCTAAGAACCAAACAGAACTAGCAGATTGAGCTGTCAGGAGCTTAGAAAGCACAGACAGATATTTAGGTCTATAACAGATTAACCAGACAAGCTGTACATTAAAATCTAGATTTCAAAAGCTGTCAACTGCCTTCAGATGGTCTATCTATATAAACACTAACAGACAGTGGATGCTATGTAGATTTATTTAGCTCAGTAAGGTGATCAGTGGACAACTGAAGATAAACAGAACTTCGGACTTGGATAACAACTATCACACCACCAACCCAGTTCCAATCTAGAGTTCATATCTGGAATATTTATGTCCTAAACAAGTATGTTCTTTACCAATGGGTCTTACTGATCCGACTGGATCACGAATCAACTTAAAAACTGGAACAGTTTTTCCAACTGATGTGACTCCAACACTGAAGGAGGTACCTGTCCCCATCTTTCCAACTAATAAGATACATGAACTTGCACAAGGTTTGCCAGGTACTTTTAACATGTACTTTCACCCATACTTAGAAATATAAAGGGATGACATCAAAAAGCACAGCAAACATGGTGAAGTAACACATGCTCTGCTGTCATCAGGTTTACCAAAACCTACTCCCACAGCCCCTAACAGAGGTCCTAGTCCTACACCTATAAAAGCCAAAGTATTTTTTGAGAAGTGAATGAGGCCGTGCACAGAGAGGAGACCCACCCTTAGTAGTAACTCCTTAGATTGCTCTCCTTAGGCACTGTTACAGCTTTGGACCACTGACCTCCATCAGGGAGGCATCTGGAATCTGTCCTAACACAATTCTTTAAAAGCAACTGCCCTGTTGCAGCAGTTATCCTGTCAGCTCTGCAGCCAACACTGACTCACAGCAGGGTCCTAACTGGACAGATGGCTTTTGGGTCACTGAAAAAACATTTAACACCATCCTTGATCCTGGATGCGTCTAATTTTGACAGTGGCTGTATCAAGATGAATCTGCTGGAATTAACTCTTTTGTGAATATGATCAAAACTCACCACCTCTCTTTTTCACTTCCACTTGCAGCAGAATCTGAATCACCTCCTCTCTGACACTGCGAGTTGAACTTTTTTTTGCATCTTACAGATACATGTGGGAGTAAACACTGAAACGAGTCCAACAAGCCATGATTCAGCACACGTCGGGCATTCTGGTTAATTACTAGTTGAGCTGTCTATATACTAAGAAGCAGACTGTGCAAACTTTATTCCCTAGGTTGTATTTTAGTAGCACTGTTCGTGAGAAAGACAGACAACTCCAGGCCTTAGCCTAGTAAAACCTCTGCCCTGGATTTATAGCAGGTTTCAGATGCATGCAGGCAGACTATCCTAACACGTAGTCCCACAGGAATGAGTCTACCTAAATGACTCAAATTATACCCACAGCAGACACAGGACATGAATTTCACGCTTTCTCTTTGGGCTAAGCATGTCAACTACTTATATTTAATAATGAAAATTATCTAGAAGCCCTTACTCATGACAACTTAGACCTCCATAAATAAGCATACAGACAAAAGTCTTTCTTTGCTTGCCCTTTTCCCTGACAGTCTCACCTCCATTTTAGTACAGGATTTTATTCCCTTCTGAGTCACCGGACTAGTATTTGGGGAAGGGGGGGGAGAAATAATACTATAGCATTGCTGAGCTGACTATTTTCATTCCTATATATAATGCACATGGTATGCACATATATTCATATATTCTAAAAGATAGATTCATCTCTCCTCTGGGACACCATCCATAATTACGTCTCTTTACCCGCCAAAGAATTCCTCGACACTTTACCTCATGGTCTACGTTCATTTGATCATCCAGGTTTTTCGTGACACTGAAGCTGAGATCATGATGGTTGTTTTCATTTTTACTCTCACTCGTATCACGAAAGCACTTCCATTTTTCATTTTGAATTGCCTCCATTTCCTTTGGTGTCTTTGAAATAACTTCAAAACTCTCCCTACTCAGTGTTCCTTGACATATTACCAGTGGTGGAATATAGTCTCTTGATGGTGGACCTATAGCCTTCCACAGAAAAGTATTAACTCCAGAAAACACGTTATTGGTATTTTGGGAATTATCATCAGATCTGTTCCAGTGTCTGTCTTGAAAAATTTGCTTAGAAGACTGACTCGTCGTGGTTTCCCACAGCAGCTTTTGTTTTTCAGCAGCCTCTAAGTCATTCAGTTTCTTCTCTGTTTGGCACAGAGGACCTACTGCCTGCTGCAACATGCTTTGCATAATCTTTACATCAAGGATACACTTAGTGATGAGCTGCTCGCTTTGGGACGGGCAACTCATTCTTCTCCCAGCATCTCCTCTCACCTCTTCCTCACTTATCGTCTCCAACTCTTCTGTAGTGTACTCCGTACTTGATTCTGAAAAGCTACCCTCCTCATAAACTGGCTTTTCCTCACACTGCATTCCAGGGGATGCAAACAGGTCTCCGAGGGCAGCCTTATCTTCTTCCTTTTGCCACTGCTTTTCACCCTTTGGAGTTTGACCTAATCCAGCTACTTCTTCTGGGAAGTCTTCGTGAAGTTCTGGAGAACTGGCAAACATTTCATTTATTTCAAAGCTACGGAGGCTGTCATCGACATCACTGACACTTAGGGTTGCCTGGAGTTCAGAAGCTACATCATGATTTTTGTCCCGTGCAACTGGTTGTAGACTGGTTGATACCTCATGGTCCACTAAAGCACTATTCTCCTCAGGGAAAAGATAGTATTTCGGGGCAGTAAAGCTGTCTGAAAAATTTGATGTGAAGTGTTAGGCTATTTCTCCAGATGTCCATCAAACATGTTGCTTAGGTACATTTAGGAGGTAACGTCTTTTAGAGATTAACTGCGCAGCATTTAATACTTCTGCTGAAAACAACATGCCTGAACTTCAAATATTAACCATAGTCTTGAGTCTACATTAACCATTAGGGTGGTAACTAGAACACAGAGCTGCTATTTTCAAACTACGTCATAAAATCTGTAAACCCTCACGTTATAATTATTTATATTAGAAATTTATGGACTGAGGAGCATGCTAAATTAAGCACGCTTGACATCTTGCTGGAGTAAACTCACCAGCCTGGGTTATCTCTTTTCCCTGCAACTCCCGTGTTCTCTTCTGGTAGCTAAAAGCTGATGCCAAACAGATGTTCACATCTGCAAAATAAGCGGGTCGTTGTGCTTTTGACATTTCATCAGCATGACCAGTTTGAGACTTAAGTAAGTCCTGTAACACAAAAAATGGAATAAAAAAGATAACTATATTTGACAGTTCAATGTCTCTACCTTCTCTTTTAACGCGGTTTGCGTCAGAAAAGTATACTCAGTGCTCAGACTGCACACAAAAAAGCCTCCCACCAAGATTTAAGCAGAGCAACTTGAATCTGAATGGACACAAAACTCTGCTGTTTTAAATACATGAAACGCTACAGTCCTGGAAGTCACCTTCAAGTCATTTTTCAGTATATATTGAATATCCTGAAGTTTTATGGAGCGGTAGTGCTGTTTAGGTTCTAGCCCTGACTTTACAATATCATAATAGGGCACAGGAAGTCTGACATCTGCTTCTAACTGTTGTCCTGAAATCATGAGCTGTTTAATAACTGAGTCTTCAAGACCTTTCCAAGGAGGGGTCTCTGCAAGACATAAATATAGACTTTATGTCACAAGCTGTGTGTCAATGTAAATGAAAATAAAGAAAAAAGAAAAAAAGATAAAAGAATCAGAGATACCAAGGCATTATAAGGCATTATTGTCTGCACATTCCCTAATCTACAACTACCATCACAAACCACATGAGCACTCAGTTCAGCCTGGCATCTCCTTCCTTTCTTATCTCACCAGTGGATGCTTTAAAGGGAGCTGACAGCAATCTCTAGAGGACAGTGACAGCGTAACTCATGCTCTGGATTCTTCATTACCAACTAGCTAATAGAGGGTTTAATTTTTAGGGTAATTGTTTATTCCGTTTCACTGTCAAAATAAAGTCGATACATAACATACGTTACATTATCTGTAATAACAATACATTATCTGTAAGTTATCTTAGTGACCAAAAAGATGAAAGATTTTGCACATTGCAAAGAGTTAACTGAATGTTTTGCTGTCCTTATACGAAGAAGAAAGATAAACAGCAGAAAACCACCGTACACAAAATTGTATCTCTGCAATACCAACCATTAATCTCACCCTTTAGCTATGTAATTTTAAGTTTTCTGATTACATCTTCCAAGAGTTTCCAGTAGTCTTTGCTGTTGCCATTAACATTTGGGGGTTTTGCCTGGAGGGTTCCGAGTTAACTCTGTAATAGCCATCACAGCAAGGTTTGATCCACTCAGAGAGGAATGAGACATTTGGGGGCTACTCTAGTGACAAAAGCCTAAACCTGCAGATATACCTGTCAAGGCCTCCTGCATTACTGTACAGAAGCTGTAAATATCCGATTTGACTGTGACAACTTTTTCAAGGATGACTTCAGGAGAGCACCATTTATACAGCTGGACTGGGACAGGAATACGCGTCAGGTCACTGTGTTCTCCACCATCTTTGCTACATAAAAGGAAGAAAGTTGTAAACTGGAACATGCAGCACACTCAACCAGAAGGTATACCTTCTGCAATTAAGCACCTGAGTTTGGCATATCTGTTTTTAGTTTAAATACCTAAAAGGTCCAGAGTAGACTTGCAAATAAAAATGTGTAGTGTTTTCACACCAATAAATGTATTTTATTATCCTGGGCTGCATCAAAAGAAGGGTGGCCAGCAGGTCAAGGGAGGTGATTCTGCCCCTCTGCTCTCGTGAGACCCCACATTGAGTACCGTATTCAGCGCTGAGATCTCCAACATAAGGACATGGAGCTGTTGGAGCGGGTCCAGAGGAGGCCACAGAGGGCTGAGGTGTAGAACCTTCAACCATTTTAGGTAAGCCTCCATAAGCACAAGTTCAGTAGAACCAGAGGAGACTTAATTTCCAGCCTAGCAGCAGAATTAGTGACTAAAAGAGGAATTTAATTTCTGTTCTGTAAAATTAGGTTCTATTTCTTTATGATAGTATTTTTGTACTCCAATAAAGAGCTGCTTCTCTTTCTAGTTTCTATTTTCAGATACTTCTAACAAAGAAACTTACTGTACTGCCTCTAGCAAAGTTAATGTACCTGAGCAGTAGTAATTTGGAGTTTTAACTCCTGTAACTCTGTTGCCTGACTCAGAGACAGGGGTCCTTAGTCATCAAGGGGGGCACTTCAGTAGAATTTAGCACTAAATTTGACTTCACTTGTGTTTGTCCCTTTCTCAGAAACAGTGAGGAAGTTCTTTACCTCTCTATCATGTATTCCAAGTTGCACAGCTTTGCCTCACCAGAAGAAACAATTTGAATAGCATAGGAGGTAACTGAACGGTGGATAAATCCCCGGAAGTGTAGGAAACGCAAAGCTTCATTAATTTGAAGCAGCACATGCAAAATCGTCTCCATGTGCAGAACTGGGAATTCTGTACGCTGAAAAAAACAAACAGAAGTACCAAATTTGCACTGCAGGTCGTCAAAGCTTGATGTAGTAAAAACTATTATTGTACAGAAGAAGGCAAAGAAAGTAAACACGAAAACACTGCAGTAGAAGTTGGACGAATTGCACTTACTAAATAACGTTTGTTCTCAATACCAAACCAACGCATAATACCTTAAACAGTAATTAAGGGGGGGGAAAAAGATATCTATATTGACTATGCCAAAATTCACTCCGAAGGAGAATCAACTCTTTCCTTTGACTACAATCTCTCCAGTAGCTTAAGATGTCTGCATTCAAGCAGTTAAAGGCATAAAATAATGACTCAACTGTGAAAAAGGAAGAGAAAAAGACTGAATAACAAGAATAAAACACAGATCGGTTGATTAAAAAAGTAAAAAATATGAACTGCAAGCGAGTTCAAGCCTTCACTTTTATACCCAGGCAGTGTGCAGTGTACTACATGTAATCATTGGAGGACAAAAGCTGCATTGCCACATTTGCAATATACAACCACGTGCGGAAGATTAAAAGTTCAACTGAATTTAACAGCAGCCATTTTCAGACTGATACAACAAGAAAAATCAATGCAATTGCACCTCAACATTAACTGAAGCATTGGCCAACTACAAACTTCACCAGCTTACACGGAGTATCCGACACTGCGCAACGCACGAGAAAACCAGACACGGACCGATGATTTTGTCTGCTTGTTCTTCGAGTAAAGATGGTAGATGTAGTTACTAAACTTCTTCCTCTCGATTAGTTACTGTTTAAAAACCAAGTATTCCACTTACCCTTTCATGAAGGATGCTGTACAGAGAACCGAAGTTAACTCTTTCATACACTAAACGGGTTTTCTCCAAGTCACTAGACAGACAAACAGACATCAACTGTAGCAGATGAGAATGACGGAGTTTACTGCAAAGGGAGAGAGAAAAAAAAATTAAGACAATCTGAGACTAAAAGAGAAAGAGACCTGGCCTTCTAAGCCTTTTTACCAATACAACATGAATGCTTCTAATTTAGTATTAAAATACCCCAAATTTTAAAAGAACCATAGATTAGGAGGCATTTAGGAAACAGTGCTTACTGTCAGAACTAGAATAATCTATAAACAAGCAATCCAGGAAACACGCAATAAAGCACTCATCCAGACACAGGAGAAGAGAGCATCATCTCCTGTAGTATCCACTGGGGAGGAAATGGAGCGGGGAAAGACAGGAGAAGAGAGAGACTCATATTTCTCATTTAGAGGGAAAGTACAACCACAGCCTAACAGTCCTCCCGAGGTGAATCACACTTCCTCACCTCACTGGAGACCCCCACACCCCAGGAGCACTTGCTGCTACTGTCTGTTCTTTCTTACCTACTGCGTTCCTGCTCTGCAATGAGAAGATCAGCTAAGCATAGTTTACTACAGTTCTGATGGGGCTCAAAGCTGAGTTCCTTCACTGTAACTCTGCTGCCTCCCCACATTAAGCTACAAGGAGAAGAAGGAGAATTTCCATGAGATGCTTTCTGCAGTATTTTTTTTCCAGTTACAGAATTACCTACAAATAATTTTGTCTTTCTGAAATGCTCTGGTGCTGTCTCCTCCTGTTAGTAACATTACTTTGACGATTCTGGTAGTAGCATATACTCTTTCAAATTCACAATAAATTCTCATCCTGGTAAAGACTGGATGTAGCAGGACAAGTCTGCTGTTGGAAGACACTACCCTTCCAGCACCCAAGGTAAAGAACAAGGACACTCTAAAACCCCTTTCACTAAAGGCTGGCAGCCCACTGTGACGCAAGCCAGAGCTTTGGGAAGATTAAATCACCCATTTGCAAATTTTCTGGATGTCTCTGAGGTAAAACTACTTGCTACACAATACAAAAGATAAAGAAAGGCTCAGTCTGCACTTGCAAAATCATTTCACCATAGGTTTGAGCAAGTGAGCTGCAGAAAGGAATATCCAGAAGCCTGAGGTCTGACCCAATGACTACAAGGCCTAAACTCTGAACAATGCAACCCCAGCAACGTATTTCCCACCACAAAAGGAATCAGTACTGAAACTTTGCTATCAATGAACAACCATAACTGGGTTCATATTGCTGGAAAGGACAAGGGCAACCTACAGATCAAGAGAGTCTAATGAAGATATTAATCAATGGACCGCAGAAGATAAGTTACAAGCAGAAAGCAGTGGATGAATATAGAATAGAGAAGGAAAACTATCCAAAGCATCTGGAGTAACTTGCTGCTTAATAGTAACAAATACACACTACGAGGGGCTAAAATCCCATTGATTCCACTTACTTTGTCATGATCATGTATGGTCCAACGTGGTAAGAAAACGTTGGTTCATCATCTGCCTGAACTATGTCTTTTTCCCCAATAATAGGGAGAGATGTCAAGTATCCTAGATGCCCGCTGCCTGCAAGACAAGACTGAAACACCACCAGGGCATAACCAAAAGGAATATGCAAAAGTTCCCAAGATCTGTCACAAACTCACTAAAAACTTCAGTGCAATCACTGCAAGGGGAGCATCAGCCAAAGCATCAAAATGAAACGTGAAGATATCTATGTCAAAAGCTTCACTTGCTAGTGAAGCTGGAACAGGGAAAGCAGAAACAGTCACTAAGAGCTCCCACAGGCGACATTGAGCAGTAGTTTCTATTGCCTGTTCCAAAACAGCTTCCTGTGTTAGGGCCTGCTGATGACTAAACGCTTGAATATTTGCGCTCTACACAGTTTTTTTCCACTGTTTAAATAGAAATAAGAATGCACTAGAAGTAAAAATAACACAGGTGAGGTAATTACTGTGAAGATTCTGTGACTCCAAAAAACTGTACTAATACCGTCAGAAAACTATAATCCACAGCATCTTACCTTCCCAAAACCAAAGCTGTACGTGTTCTTGGCATTAGCTCCACCTTTCAGAAATCTACCCAGAGGACTGTCAACATTCCTAAGTACCAAAAACACAAGCAATGAGATTAACTAACATGCCAAAGCTTTGAGTAAAAATACAAAAAAGAGAGAGGAAAAAAAAAACATGCAGAAATTCTGCAACAGCCGTGTATTTCAAATGTTGCACTTGACTGGTCCCACACACAGAGTGTAATGTGCATGCTGAAATTCCAAATTACTGTGCAGCTCATTAAAACCTTTTAGATACACCGTTATGGTATGTATTTATTTAAAGCAAGATAGCCAATAAAAAAAAATATATATGCATACAGGCATGCTGCATCACTTTTTGCTCACAAGTATGTATTTTTCCTAACATGAACCTGACATAAAAGCTCTTGAAATGGTTGCAAACGCACCCCCAAAAGATATGCAGTGACTTTAAAAGGTCAAGAAACAAACTCCTTCATGTTACTGCCATTTCAATACTACTAAAATCCAGTATTTCATATTGCTAGTTTCAAGAGTATCTCTTAATACACAAGTATTTACAACTATCAAGTTTCCATTTGGAACTCCCACAACAGAAATAAAAAGTATCATCATTCCTAATACCCATTCGTTTTAAATCTGATATTGTCAAAAAGAAACAAGAACATGTTAATTTTAAGATAATAGAATATGGAAGTAAAACTCCTTGTAGCTCAATCCCTCAGTATTTGAGAATGTATTCTTACTCTTGAACAAGACCACCAAACCTAGATAGACTGCAGACCACTGGTTTTGATGAGCCAGCCTTTCGGAGTAGGTCAGAGGGAAAATTTTGAATGGCAGCCTGCATATGGAATGTACAACGCTGTATAAATTCCAGGATCTAGAGAGGAGGGGAAACACAACAACAAAAAATTGCTTCAGAAATGTGAGATAAACCTTTTTAAATTAATAGATCGTGACTACTGAAAAATAACTAGTTACTTGCAACATTTAAATAGGCATTTCAAGAAATGGATACACAGAGAAAATCGATTACATGAAAAGGTAAGAGAAAGCTTACTTCAAACACGAGATGACTAACTTTCAAGACATTCACCCACTTAAAATTGTAGTATCAGGTTTCTTTTTAAGAGGAGCATTGTAATAAGAGGAAAGAGGAGTATTATGAGTTTTAAATCAATATTGCAGTCATGAATAAGCCTTCTTGATACATTTTGCTACCATGCTAGTAAAAATGACACATTTGCTGCCACTGTTCACGCACAGAGACACACTTGAAAACTACCTCAGGTTTACTCCTGAATTGCACACATGCAAACATACTACATACATCAGGGATGAAGAACAAGAGCTTGTCATTCTCCTCACTGCACAGGTACACATAAAGGTCCTAAATAGTTACAGAGAGATGCCTCTGCACCTAAGCAAAGCCTTACTTAAATAATCTGAATCATGAGGGCTTCAAAATACAATTACTGATATTGAATAATAATGTTAAGTCATTTTTCTGACATGTAAAAGTCATGTTCTCCTTGGAATGCTGGAGTTTCTTCACTCTAAGACAAAGACGTGAGCACATACCCAGCACATATTCGAGACATATCACACACGTGTACCTGAGCACTCCTTTCTTCTCCAGCTGACATAGCCCAGTACTGTGGATTTCTTCCATCTTTATCGTGTACTCTCAGATCACCTCCTTCATCCAATATCTTGCTAAGAATCCACTGATTTCCTGAGAAAGCAGCTGCATGGACTGGGGTGCTGCCATCATAACAGCGACTGAGGAATAAAGGGCAAAGCAGAAACGTTTCAACCTACCCCTACAACACTCAACCAGCTGTGACTTTGGGAAAAAAAGTAGCATACCTAGAATGTTTATGTACTCCCAAACAATAACATATACGGAGAAATATGGAAAATTAAGCACCTACTTTGGCTAAAACAACAACATGCATCTTAAGTGCTTCTTCATTTATATAGGGAAAATTCTGTATTACATTGACTAAAGCCACTAAAAAATTAAACATTACTTTCAATTTAAGAAGAAAAATTTATTTTTATACTTAACTGGTTAGCGTCTGAGCCATAATCCAACAGCACATCTACTATTTTTTCAAGACCTAGCAAAGCAGCAGTGAAGAGAGAAGTTTGGCCCATGGAATTTACAGCATCAACAAAAACACCTACAAGAAAACCCAAAAGATTATGAGGACAGCGCTTATCCCCCACCACCTTGCACAATGGTTCATTAACACTGAAATTGACTGCCATATTCCCTCTGAAATACTGGAAATGCAAAAACATGATATTAACAGAAACTGGAAAAAGAACAAACAAACTTCCATGTAACTTTTGATAGAAACCATACACTGCTTGCCCACAATGTTTTCAAATACAGGATGTATAAACATGGGAGGCAAAGTATTAACCTGGATGAGCACAGGTAACACCGCAGGACCACATTAATAAAAAACTACATTCTTCTGAAGCAGTAATTGAGAGCTAGACGAGTATTTTGTTATGTTAAGCAATTTTATTCAAAACAATGAACTCCATTCTGCATCGAAAAGAGAAAAAGTAAACTACAGTGACACAGATCTGACACAAACATTGCGCGGTGACATCATATAAACTTTATGGTACGTAACTATTTTTAGAACCACCGAAAAAAGGACG